TTACACTCATCGAGACCTTTCATTTGAGTACCCACATCAATTTTTCATATATTCATATGTTTTATATATATCATATATATGTATATATGAAAAATTATACCAAAGTGCATGTGGGTACTCAAATGAAAGCTCTTGACGAGTGTAACATCGGGATGAGCTTATATCTTAAAAAATGTCAATAGTTAAAAAAGTACATTGCAATTTAACAAAAGTAATTATTTAATAAAGCAAAATTTTATTTATTCATAGTTTACAAGTCACGTTAGTTACATAGTGATTGCAAGGTTGTTAGTACATATTTAAATTTAAATTATGGAAATAATTTTATTTTTCAGAGAAAAAATTTTAAGTATGAAAGATGAAGATAGACAAAATATAATAGACACATTATCAGCAATGCCACGAGCAATAGAAGTTGAAGACGTTCCTGACTTCTGTTCACTAGCGCAATACTACAAGCTGACAACACCAACTTCATTTAAACAAGAATTGTATCCGATAATGTTTGGCGAGGGTGGTGATGAAAAATTTATATCACATGCTTTGTGTTTGCCAGTAACAGCTGAAGAATTAGTGGAAAATACCATTGAAGCACCGCAATGTTCAAGTATTCCTTCCGAGTCAGTTCGATTTTTCCTTGTGGATTGTCGTCCAGTTGAGCAGTACAATGCTGGTCATTTGCCTACTGCATTTCATCTGGATTGCAACTTGATGCTCCAAGAGCCTGCGGCATTTGCGACCGCTGTTGATGGATTATTGCGAGCCCAACGACAAGCGTTAGCCATTGGTTCGAATGCCGGTGGTGAACATTTATGCTTCGTCGGTAGTGGCAGACAAGAGGAAGATCGCTACACTCACATGGTCGTCGCGTCCTTTTTACAAAAGCACACCCAGTATGTCAGTATGGTGAAAAGTGGCTACCAAGCAATTCACGAGTACTTTGGTGATGAAGTTATCACTAATTTAGTCGACCATAATTTTCAGCGATGCTTAATTTGTAACTCTAATTCCTCGGAGGGTAACTCGAAAAATACCAGTCCAACTAAAAATAAAAGCAATTCCGATTTGTTTGGTAAAATAGGAATGGCTATGAAACTCAAGAGTCAAGAGGTCAAGGGGAAATTGTTTGACTACATCGTTAATCCGTCGACTAGTGTCAATAGTAGTAATAATGGTGATAGTAAAAAAGAAGATGAGCCTTCCAAACGGTCTAAACCGACTATGCCTGTTTTTAGTATCGATGATGTTCATGATCCAGACATGGTTATTAGTAATCCGGAAAATGAACAACCTGTTGAAGTTGTTTCTATAAGTCAGTGGTTGAAAAATCCACAATTGTTACATTCCTTCAAGTGTCAAGAAGTTAAAGTTAATGGATATGTTTATGAAAGGTAATTTTATTTATTTTAAAGAATAATTAATCTTTATAATTAATAAAATAAGGAAAGGCTCGTTATCGTTTGAAATTAATTGATCCTTTGGTGGCGGGGTGAAAGTTTTTTTTTCGACATAAAATAATTATATTTAGTCATTTTTATTTATCTATACACAGAAAAAAAATTTACTTGAATCAAGAACTTCATTTTCTTGATTTGAGTAGTGAAATTTTTAAAATAAGAATTTTTCTTCGTCTAAGTAAATTTTATTTGATTGAAGAATTTTTCGTCTTGATTTAAAACAACAAAACTCTTCAAAAATATTTTATAAGCTCAAGAATTATTCTCTTAATTCAAGTTAATTTTTTTACAGTGTATAATTAAGAGAATAAGAAAAATTTTGTCTCGTATTTGAATGATAAAATGAGTTTTTTAAATGAAATTTAGTATCATTGGAAAGGTCGAGACTTAAATTAGTGCCTTTTCAATAGTTCATATGTTTTTTTGAAATAGTTTATTTATTATGATAAGTTTTTGAAGTAGTTTTAAGTAGATCAGAATTTTGGGATAAATAAAATTTGTTTATTTATTCATTTTGTTTTGTACACGTGAATGTAGTTATATGTAAAAAATTAATTTTTACACGCTTTTTTATTAGCTTCACTTGTATGTCAGTATGTCATTCAGTATGTAACTCTCCGTGGGTAATTTGCGCGCCTGCGGCCTTCCTTGGTTCTGGTAGTCGTTTCTCAGGCTCCCTCTCCGAAATCGAACTCTGATTCCCCGTATTTATAATATTTATAAATAATTATTTTATTCTCACTAATCAATAAATTACTTACTGAAAATTTAATTTAATAAAAATAATAATTTAATTAATTAATCATTTAATAATTCAATAAAAATAATAATTA